AGAAGAAGAAGAAGAAGAAGAAGAAGAAGAAGAAGAAGAAGAAGAAAAACATTCTTCAAGGGAAGAATCAGGCCACCCTGGCTAGTGCTGAAACTACCGTTCTCTTGGTGCTACTCAGGATTTCAAGGTTGAGACTTCCCAGGCAGTAGCGCCCACTCATAGTATCCTGGGGAAAAGAGCTGTGCCATCCCTGTAACAGGGCCTATCACTACTTCACATTTTCCATACGATGTCTTCACGAATGCATTTATGTTTGAGACCCTCTCTGAACACACTGGAAGGAGCTATTTCTAACACAGGTTTCTCTGTAGGTGTCTAAGCAGTATCCCTTATGTGTAAGGCCTTGAGCTCAATTTAGAGCCAGTTGTGTCAACACATCCATTTTTCTCCAGACTTATAATTCAGGTAGAGAAAATAGGCCAAAAGGCTATGTTTGACAGAGACTGCTTTCAAAATTTCTGATATCTGGGCTTAAATTAGAAAACAGGAAAAATAATTTAATAGCTAACATAGACATAAAATTCAGTGGAGAAGGTTATTCTAGTCTGGGAAAGTTGGCATAGCCCTATTTTTCAGCTTCCTGATAACTATAACTTTCTAAATCTTGGAAATGCCATGAGACAACCAAAAACTCTGAGGTGAGGGGTCCTAAGAAAGTGGGGAGCAGGTTTGAGAACATATGACCAGAAGAACAACAGGGCATCGGGCATCAGGACATCTTTCAACAGAAGGTAGCCATGACCATTGATTCTTTATCCTGGATCTGGTGGAGTTACTCGGACAATCTCAAGCAAAGGTACTAGTGAGAAGTCTTTCCAAAGATAATCAGAGGAAGCCCTCTGCTTCCCTCCCTTTCCAAGGATAGGTAAGCCAGAAGAGCCAGTAGGGTAAAACAGGTGGCTCAGCAAGCAAAGTCTCATTGTCTCTGCAGGCCCAAGACTCAGGCCCAAGACTCTTAGCCCGCTTAGAGATACTAGGGCTGATGAGTAGAACCAAGGAGAATGACCTGCCAGCTGGGTCTTAGAGGCCTCTTTAAGGAACCAAGATTCTCTCCCCACCCTCTGACCCAGGAAAATCTGGGCAGCAGGGGATACCATCAAGAGAATTCTCTCACATTCCTCCCTTCCAAGAGGTATCCAATAACATGGCCAGGGGGAAATCCCTTCAGCCCTTTCAGACATCAGTAACTATCTGAAACTCTGAAGCAGTATTACTAAATCAAACAGACCACAAAATAACACTACAGGGGATTTAAGATTTAAATTACCATCGGATACTAGGCAAAAACTTGTACAAGAAACAGAGTGACTCTAAAAACAATATTTAAATATGGGGGCTGGGAAGACGGCTCAGCAGCTAAGAACACTGTTTTGCAGAAGACCCAGGTACGAATCCCAGCACCCACATGGCAGCTTATAACTGTCCATAACTCCAGTTCCAGGGGCTCTGACAACCTCTTCTGTCCTCCGCCGATGTGGGAAGCGAGCACAGCCGAGCCAGCCAAAGATGGAGCCCTGGCTGGCTGCCAAACCTCGTGCTGTTTACTTCAACTCTTGGCTGAGTGCCAAGGCTCGTGAATCCCGCTTGTTTACCCCAACTCTGAAGTATGGTGAGCCCAAAAACAGGTGCTGCCAGCCTGATGATCTTGCTACGTGCCTATGAGCTACACTCTGCCTGGCCGCTGCACATGTGTGAGCCCTGATTGGTACCGGCTGGGGGGAGGGCTGTTGGGAAAGCTATGTAAAGAGCTGAAGTGTG